CGTTACATCTACTGAAAAAAGTTTTGCTGTCGGTATGTTATTGAGCTTATCACTGTTTTAATTCCATAAAATAACATTGAATTGAATCCTTAAATTTATGTGATTCCATACTATTTTGATTTATTTTTTTTTAAACCTCCTGACTATACATCAGAAGGGTGTTGATTGACTCCACACAATATTGTAAACACACCCTAAAGTTCTTTCCTCATCTCTTATCTTTTCTAAAGCTTCTTCAACTTCAGTTATGTCGACATTTTTTCTCCACGCTTTTTTTCCTTTACGGCTTGGTTTGTTAATGGCTTTTTTAGTTTTCGGTTTTAAGACTGCGGTCAACATTTTTATCGAAGGCTTTGAAAATACCAAGCACCGATACAGATAATCTAATTTAATTTATCATGTGATAGTTGTTAGTAGTAACTTATCAGATTTACTATTAGTGGTGGCGTTTGCGTTTTTAGCGTAGTTAAGACTCGCTTGATAAAGGTTCGGAACACTTGCTTATTATTCATTCTTCACCCTTACATATGATGATATGATATGATATTGTGTTTTATACAACCCGAACGAAAAGCTTGTGTAAGGGGAAAACATACGGACAGTGAGTTTCCTCACCGTCATCATAACCCTTGGGAAGGTCTGAGAAAAACTATAAAAATCTCTAGCTGAGATTCCTGAGAATGGGAGCGAATAAACAGAAACGATACCCTCCTGGATTATAATATGAAGTCTTTTGACGGATTGGCATGGTCCATGGAGTGTTTGAACGTGGTTCGCTAGTGGTAGCTCTATGGAGTACGATACACAAGACATCATATTTGATGTAACTCAATTCAGACTATTCTTTCGTTCGGGTTACTTTATATCTGATTTTATCTTAATCTTAGTTATTCTTTACTGTTGGTTGTAATATTAATCATTTTGCTTTCTCTTTCTAAAGGTGAATGATTCGAAATGGTATTTCCTTATTGAAATCGAATACTGAATCTTTAGGTGTGTTTCGAATGTTTAATGAAGACTATGTACAGTAAAGTACATGACATAATAACATATGTTGTCCGCATTCTTACGATCGATCCATAATGTAGCTACACTATATTTTACAGTATTTTTTTTAGTTAATAAACTTTATATGAGTAACGGAAAGAGAAAACCGTAAATTAGTTAGCCAACATTCATATTATGGGCTCGGCCCTGCGAAATTGATCCCAGTGATTCAGAACTGGATAATATATTTAAGCTTATTGTTTTAAGGAAACGGCTAGTCAGTTCTCAGAATTGATTCTGGATAATATATGTATATGATTTTGTTTTATTAATGTTAATTCAGTTGAGTATAAAGATCTGATCGATCGCTTAAATAAGCTCTTTAAGTTCGTGATTCTGCTTCTTATTTATTCTTGCTAATTTAGCGAGTAAATACAAACTTTAGTATTTAAAATAAACTATAGTTACATAATGCTACTCATATTTTTTAATTCGCATTAATTATGTATAAAAATTTTCTAACCAATGTATTAAAATTCGTGAATTCATAGATTTGTTATCTATGTTAATTTAACTTGTAATTTGGTATATCAAAAGTAAGCTACTTTATAGTGCGTAAAGATTCTGTGAATTTAAGATAAACGGTTTAAATCGCCTTATTTTAACTAAAAAAAAATGCAAGTTATTTTCATTAAATAAAAAGATTCCGGCAAAATAATCTGGCTGCCATTTTTGCTGGGCGACGCTAGGGTTGTTGTACTATTTGCCGCAAGTAACTACTAAGTAGAAATCTGCGATAACCTGTATTTTTGACAATTTTTACAAGTTTTTTAGCTTATAAAATTCTTCACTTTAATTATTTTCGCAGATCTAAGTAAAAAATTCTGCAATAATCTGATTTGTCACTCGATCACACGGTATACTATCAACACAACAAGATACAACTACGGAAACACTATATGGGATTTTGCCTCCTCACTGCTCAAGTGGTTTACAACTGGTCCCTAGTATCGGCCTTTTCCACCTATTTCTCTGTTCGGTTGGGCTATCAAAGTACTTATCACTGACATCACCCAGACTATCAACATACATAACTCCTCAACCCAGAATACCACCCTCCCAGCGGTGGGTGCTAATGATGAAGCTAGACTTTTGTCAAGCTAGCAGCAAAACAAAAGAAGGAGATCCAAATTTCAGTACTCCTCTTTATATAGCTCTTTTCTATGATCTTATACTTACCTTCATTACCAATACATCATACTATTGCTCAATACATCATACTTACAAAACTGATCTACAAATCATTAACCTGACATCATGGATCTGAATCATGATCTTGTGACAAATAGATGACCTATAACTTTATTCATGATATCATTTGTTACTTGATCACCCTGGTATACTATCAACACAACAAAATACAATTACAGAAACACTATATAGGATCAGAGAATCAAGTTGCAAACTTTTTTTCCTACTTGTTTATATATACATATATTCAAGTTTTAATTGTATACTTATATATTAATTTTCAAAACCTCATTTTAATCAAAACTTTACTCTTTGCTATTTTTATTATCTTAAGAGTAGACTGTACTCTATAATTAAATTTATATTATAAAAAATAACAAAAAAATATTACTATAGTTAACTCTTTCTATTCTGAACAGTTCATTCTTATATATAAAAATAAAAAATTTAATTCTCAAAATATTACATATTGCTAATCTGAACTTTATAATAAAATTTATAAATATTTTGAAGCTTTGTATTTGGTTTTATAGAGTATATTAAGGGTTCAGATTATCCAGGTTTAGATTTAGAAGAGTTGGCTATAATATAAAAGTTAGATTTTTATTAAATAAATTAATCTTTGACTATTAAGACAAGTTGTTTAAAATAATAAATTATATATTCTCAGAAATTTTTTATACTATTTGGATAAATTTTTATATTAAAGTTTTTTGTGTATAAACATGATTAATTAAATAAATTATAGAGTTATATTTACAAAATTAAGAGTTTTATCTGTAAAAATTTTTAATATAAAATTTTTATCCAAATCATATAAAAATTTTTAAAGCATATAATTTACTATTTCAAACAGTTTTTCTTAATATACAAAGATTGATTTACTTAATAAAAAATTAGCTTTTATATATTGTGATAATTTAATTTTATATATAGCAATAATTTTAAAATTTGTTATTTTTATAATAAAAATTTAATTATATAATATGGTCTACCCTTAATTTATATAACTTTTTTAGCCTTTATATAATATAAAACCCTATTACTACTAATACTAAATCTTTACATTAACAATCAAAAAAAGATTAACTCTTTCTAACGATCCCTTGGTCAACAACAAAAAAATCGAACTACAGTTAAAGTTATAGAAAAGTGACAAAGTAGATACTACAATACTCTTGGTTCATACTTTCATACTTGCTGTCGACTAAACTTATATATGTGAAATACCGAGAAGCGGGCATATAAACAAAAAACGGATCCAGTATCATGGTCAAGCTCTTTTTTTACAAGCTGTTATTGACAAAGTTTTTAAACGTGATATACTGAGGCATGGGCATTGTGAATGGTTTGTACAGAGATCAAGCCTTTTTTATATGTGGTAGACAACTTTGTGTGTTTGGCATCCAAACCGGAGGAGTCTTTGGGAATAGCAAGAAAAAAAGAAGTGGACTCCCCTATATCTTCGACATCCAAACCAAAAGGACATTTGGGAGCAACGTTCCTGCGAATCCCTGTAGAAGAATATCTAGTAGAAAAAGAAAAACTGGACTATACTGCTATAACTCTTACAAAAAGAACCTCACATACTTTCATTAGCCCACCACTTTTTTTTGAGAAAATTTTTGTAAAAAGTAGGCGTTTCAGCTTACCTCCTCCAAAAGATCGATATCACGTGTACTAAAACAGTTGGCATTATTTACTTCCTAAATCAGTACAACAATGTTCTACAACTTGGATTGAGTACTGGCCTCTACGTTCTATGGTCGAAGAAGTATTTTTTTACTGGTTTTGAGCTTTTATATACTATTCAGATAAATTTAAAGTAGAAATTATTTTATTTAATAGTATGTAATTTTTATAAGCCGCTCACGGGCTCATAATAGTGATCATTAGGATAGGCAAAAATTTTTTTTTTTTTTTTTCAATATCCCTTACTCTTTATCTTTCTTGCTTGTTTGTATCTTTTATTATACTCCCCTTTTACCTCTGTTTTATTTTTCTTTTGTGTTTGTACTTTCATTAATTTGGCTCTTTTAATGAAGTGATGCAGCTACTAGGGCTAAAGATCAGAGGATTCATATTCTCAGTAAGTTGAGGATCTAATGTGAAGCCAATTGCTGCTAGGTGGGTCATTCTCTGAGCTTAGCTCGAGTTGATCTTTACTTATGTGGAATATAGTATAGAAAATTGTATCTCCTTGTTGATATAAGTTCTGGTACTTCCCAATAAAGAGTAATAGGCAGGACCGCCGAATTAAAAAAACTAAACTTTGTATTAAACTACCAAATCTATTTTTTAGATAAATAATTATGATACTGTCTTAGTACTTTTAAAGAAAATAGATTTTATAGTAATTTCACAATATGATTTAAGCTTTATTAAATTAATATTTCTAGTCACCACTTTAATTTTAAAATTCTTTGCTAGATTACTAAATTTTTTCTTATGTATTCTATCTATTGTCTTCAGAAACTTCTAAACTTGAGCTAATATACTTACTAACTTTAATTAACCTAAAAATATTTTAATAATATCTATATTTGTCAGATATTGTAATACCCAAAATTTTATCAATTTTTAATATTTTCTCTTTTCTTTCCTTTTTCCTATATTTTAACATATTCGTATCATATTTTTATCAATATTTTATTATCATCATTTATTTTTGTTTATATTATAAGAAAAATTAAAATAGTAACTCATCGCTATAGCGACTTCTATATGATCAGCCAATCATTTTTGAGATTAGTGATCATATATAAACAGGATCAATGTTTATTATTTTTGTTTATTTCAGTTTTTTTGTATTTGTTGTTGTTTCGTTTCGTGCTTTTGTTGTTTTGTGATTTAACTTTCACTCAACTTTAGAATTAGATATGTGCTTTTAATTTTTTTTTTATTAAAATTAACTTCTTTTCTTTAAATTTTTTTGTTTTTTTTTCACTTTTTTTTATTAGCTTTTTTTGTTTCTTTTTTATTTGTCATTTTATTTTTGTGCTTTCGTTGTTTTACTATTTATTTTTTGCTCAACTTCAGAATTAGGTATGTACTTTAATTTTTTCAGTTTGCTTTTTTTTTTTATTAAAATTAACTAGTTT